CACACACACACACACACACACACACACACACACACACACACACACACACACACACACACACACACACAAACACACACACACACACGTGGCGGGGCTCGCGTGCGGAGCACGTGCGCAGGCAGCGCGCCAGGTGCGCCTGCGGCGAGCGGGCGGGACCGGCCATCGATGGGCCAACAACGCTGGAACACGTGGCGCAAATGGTGCGGGGCTCGACCCAAGCATCGATTTCCGTTTTCGTGCCGTTGTTGTCTTCCCTCGTCCTGCCTCCGTCCCGCCCCTGCTGGGAAGCGCGACCCAAACGGAAATGGGCCAGGGCCACGGCATGGCCACGACACCACTTAGCTCGAGCCCCGCAACTGTGTCCAGCTGGGCCGCTTCGAAGACCCTACGTCAAATAACTTTCAGCGAAACAAGGGCTCCCAACTTCGCGCTTCGCGCTGCGCGAAGCGCGAATAACTTCGCGCTCTCGCGCCATCTCCCAGGGGAGAAGAGGAGGATGAGGAGGAGCCGGAGCCGAACCTCGAAGCGCGAATAACTCCGCGCCCTCAGCATGGTGCTAGCTCGCGCGAGTGCCGCTCGCATCAGGTGCCACGCGAACGGAGATCGCGATGCCGATCCGCACCCCAGCCGAGAGGGGCGAAGGCCGAAGCTGCACATGAGGCTCCAACCTGATGCCATAAGTTTATATGTATATATATATATATATACACACGCGCGCCAGCCACTCATGGGGCGAACAACGGCGCAACAAACTACTTTTCCGCCGTCGCGGGCGCGCGCGCCCCGGGCAACTGCAAAGCTTACACCCCCCACGGCGCCCCGTGGGGGTATGTATAAACGTCCTGGCCGTCCGGGAGGCAGGCGCCCCCGACGGCGGAACCACTCCTTCTACAGCGCTGCCCGGCCGCCAGGCCACGAGGGGGCACGAGGCCCTGCACCAGAGAGTGCTGCCCACCTCTTGGAGGGCAGGGCTTCTGCCTCCACCCGCCGCCCCCGGGGCCCGCCGCCAGCGGCGGGCCGCCCTCGCGATCTGCTTCCGCCGCCCTCCGCGGGGCCCTCCGCCGGAGGGGCCGCCTGCACGCAGGAGCGGCCCGCCGTCGTGACCTCTGGTGCGCGGCTCGAGGAGGGCGCGGGGAGGGGGGGGGGGAGGGAAGAGCGGGGGGAGGCCTCAAGACTGCCCATCATAGGCCAACGACAGGGCCCAAAAGGACCCCAACAATGCCTAGGAGGGCTCCAGGCGGGTCTCCACGGGGGCCCAAGGCGGTCCACTATGGCATCCAAGGTTGCAGCTTCGCCAAGGGCACCCTCAACGTTAAGACAATATCAACCTCGTCTTGGTGGGGGAAGGAAAACCCAATCGCGCAAGCCGCTGCTTTCGCAAGCATCGCATTCAGCGATCGGGGGAACCTTCGGTCACGCACCACTAGGTCACTGCGGCGAAAGGCCACTCTTTGGCCCAGTCGAGGAAAAGACGTCGACTCCTCGGACCCTCAAAGACGAGGCCCTACCTGCAACGCCAGAAACTTCTCCATGGAAGCCGCGGCATGCTCCCCGAGTCGGCATTCGCGCAGTGTCCCAGCGACCGAACCAGCGCCCTGGCGGCCCCAGAGAGCCCTCGGGACGGCCCTGAGAAGACATGTGTACTATCGATGAGCCCTACTAGCGGTGCGATGGCGGTAGAAGAAGAGCAAGAGATGACGGATACGCCTCTTTTACAGGCGGCGGTTCCAGGGGGCCTGGCGCAGGGCCCTCGCCACTCCCAGGAATTCAATGCCCAGGGTCGTGGGCGGGTTGTTCAAAATGGCCGAGCGACTGAGCCCAAACGGCCACAGACGCTGGGCAGAGATAAGAACACACTTACGTGTTGGCACGCCGTCTCCACCGAGGATGATGGCGACGCCGGAGGCCGCCGTCGACGATGAGGAAGAGGTCGCCCCACCGACGGAAATCACCACCCCCGCGGAGGACAACGTCGCGCAAGAGCCGGAGGCAAATCTCAACCGCGACGACGGCAACTGAGAACATCCACTTCGGGGACGGGCTGCAGCAACCCCCGCGAGAGGATACGGGCCTCGAGGAGGCCCGCAAATACCGCATCGTGTACACGAAGAAGCGCAAGGTGGCGAGGCTCCATAAGGTTGGAGTCTGCGGCTGTGCTTCCGACAGGAGCCGCTGGACCCCGTCTACTTCGACAAGATTCCAGATCCAGCTGAATACGGCATGGTCTGCCAGAGGTACTGGTACCACATCGCCGACCAGGTGACGGTGGCAGCCTCCGAGTGCGCGGGCGAGTGCCCGGAGAACTCATCGAGCTCCGCGAGCCCAAGAGGGTCTAACAAGGTTGACCAGCAGAAAGCAGGCTGCTGAGGAAAGCGCCAGCAGGGGCGGGGCTCCACATGACCCTTCGGGGCGGGAGCCACGCCTGCGCGCTGGCAGGGGGGCCAAAACAGCCTGCTGAGGAGGGTGCAAGCAGCGGCGGGGTTCCACGCCACCCTTCGGGACGGGAGCGCTGGCGGGAGAGCCAGGGGGCAGCCAGCGGAGAGCCGGCACTCGTCGCTCCCAGGCGCCGCGGGCATCGCCAACGCCGCGGCGGAGGCAATCGTAGGTCTTGGCCGCCGCGTCCGTCGCCCTTCGCTCAGCCAGTGCGCCAAGTCCGGGATGGCCGCTGCCTGGTCCAGCTCCACAAAGGCTGTGCCCGAGGGCTGCGCCACTGCGAGCTGCTGCTGGAGCCCAGAAACGACGGCGTGGCACGTCCTCGCGCAGGTGTCCGCGCCATCTGGCGACCACCTGCCCGGGTAGTCGCGCTCATTCTTCGGGATCCCCATCGCCGCCAAGGCTGATGGAAGCGTCGCTCGCTCCCGACTGCCCCGCTCGGAAGCCCGCGACCTCCTCGGAGAGGGCGGGCTCCGCGAACTTGCCCAGCAAAGGCCGGCGCCAGCATCCTCCGGAGCACCTCGTGGCCAGCCGCCGCCGCTTCGGTGTATCTGGCAGGCCTGCGGGTTACCTCCTGGCCGGGGTCGTCGCGCCGCGGCAAGAGGTTGTCCCTCTCGAAGTCCGCGACCTCCCACCCCAGGCGGAAGCCAGTCTCTATCCACGACGGGTCTCGCATGCAGCGCTCGCGGGACACCACCGTCGGCAGCTCTGGCATCTTGCGCTCTGAACCGCTGGTCTTCGCACGTACCAGCGTGGCCGTCACACCGCCGTCCACGAAGACGAAGCGCCGAGGTGGGGGCCAGCTGCGGTCGTCGTTTCGGAGCACCCACGAGACCTTGACGAGGCGAAGCCACGTCAATCCCGCGCAGGTACTTCGCGAGGCCATCGTCCGCAGCCAGCTGGTCGAAGGCCCCGACGAGCGCACTGGCGAACCGGGCTGCCCTCATCGTCGGACCGTTGCCAGCGCCGAGGAACGTCTCCGTGTGTTCACGACGACCTGTTGGACCCCCGGCGGAGCGGAGAGCCTAGCGCTCGGGTCGAAGCCCGCCGCGCGCTCGGTCCAGGCCAGGGCTCGGATGGCCTGTTTGGGCACCGTCGGCCTACAAGCCTCGGCAGCCCTGACGTGCACGGAATCGAAAAAGTGCACTACCGTCTTCGGCCACGGGATGCTGCGCGCGAGCAGGATCCATCGGCGCAGAATCTCGCCCGCACGCGCGTAATTACGACCTCACTGTGTGGTGGCGCGCGCGGCCCGCGATGCATTCCATCGCACGCCCCGGGTCCGTGCAAGACCGCGCCACCTCCAACGAGGGCGCGTCCATCTCGCCGAGCAACCAGAGCAGGCGAGGCCGCCAATGAGCCCACTCTCGGGCCTCCAACTCGCCACGACTCTCCTCGGCAACGGGGAAAAGGCCCCACTCTGTTCCTGATCACACACGGCCAAGAGACTCGCCACGGCGGCCTCGAGCAACGCTTGCTTGGGGAGGCCGTGAGGCGTTCGTAGCCGCTTCTGCAACGGCTCCTCGTTCACAGCCTGGCCGACAAACTCTTGCAGCGGGATCCGTGCCTCTTCCACACTGACGTCCGCGGCTGCTGCCACCTGCACCAGCGTCTCCTCGAACTAGGGCTCTCCGCCTGCAGCCTCAGACGCGAACCGAGGAACCCACACCGCTGCGGGTCCTTGCTGACCCACCGCCGCGCGGCGTCGAGGGCGCACGGCCCAAGGGCCAGCATCTGCGCCCAACCGTTGCTCAAACACGGCCGAGAGCTTGAGCCCAAATGGCCACAGACGCCGGGCAGAGAGGAGGATGCACTTACGTGTTGGTAAGCAGGGGCGTCTGAAGACCATCGCGTATCCCAGTACGGGACTGATCGGCATAGGTCAAAGTGGCCCAACGTGCTTGCAACTCCTATCCGCGTTCTCACCCAGCGAAAACTATGAACATATGTCGGAAACCCCGCAGACGCAGTTAGGAACGTGGAGCTGCCTTTCGTAGATAATTCCCAGCCGAGGTAAAAGCCCAAAGCAGGAATCGACGTCGTGTACATAGGTGAATTGAACATGATTTGTTCTGGGCAACCTGATCCTGTCGTCACCGTTGGGTCCCAGCTCGGGTCCCGTTCCCACGCCTCGCCCCCTGCTCAAGCCTCCACGATGCCGTGGGGCCCCTCTGGGCTGGCTCCTCCAAGATCCCCCGCCAGCGGGGAGGGACACATCAGTAATCTATATATATATATACGCAATACCTACCAACCTACCTACCTACCTACCTACCTACCTACCTACATACATACATACATACATACATGCATGCATGCATGCATGCATGCATGCATGAATCCATACATACATACATACATGCATGCATGCATGCATACAGACATACATACATACATACGTACATGCATACAGACAGACATACATACAAACAAACAGACATACATACAAACAAAATACGAGCGCACCATAATCTGCGCACCCCGGATCAGCGAACACATGTGCGACACGTGATGGACTCCTGGGGGCGGGCCCCCCCCCCAGTACGCATTGACATATGCTCAGCCGTTTCCCCAACGCAGTGCTTATACGTGGGGAGTCTCCCTCGGGCTACCGGAGCCCAATGGACGGGCGCGGCGGGGCTTCCTCTGGTGTCCGCTTGGTGCCCGCACGTGCGCGCCCCGCGGCCGCCCCGTACCCGCCCACTGCGCCCCCGTGGGCGCCCCTCGCTGCCTGAATAGGGCTTACACCGCTTAGCTTCCACCACATAGAGAGCTCCACACCGATTCTCCTTTACAAAAAATACAGACTCTACCACCACCACCACCACCACAACCACCACCACCACCACTACCACAAACAACCACCACCACAAACAACCACCACCACCACCACAACCACCACCACCACCACCACCACCACCACCATCACCCCCGAGCCCAGATTTTGCTGGCTCCCTCTCTAATGTGTTTCGGACGCATCGTCATTTACAAATCTGTAGCCATCCCTTCCAAGCCAGGCCAATCTCTGCTCCTCCCGCCACCTCTGTCAAATAATTCCATGCGTGCACACACGTTCGCATCCCCGTGCAGAAAGACAACTTATTCCACACGCGCGCGCGCATGTCGAAATCAGATCAAAAACATTGATTCTGCCAGAGTGTACACATGAGTACGTTCAACACATATTGGCTGTTCATCCAAAGTCTTGCAAAATTTCTGCCCGCGCGCACGTGCTGTAATCACGTGACAACCATGTGATGTCTATATCTTCATCGAAACAATGCATTATCATCTCCTCATGCGGTGCACCCGCGTTGGTCTAGCATGCGCCCAACGCAAGAATCCATATCAGACCAAACCATGCCAGCCACCTGCGTGCGCCGCCACGCGCGCGTCGAAATCTTTCCAACACGACTGGCATTCGAAGTATTTCAATATAGAACTCTTCAAAAACGTTGGAAACAAATCAACACACACACATGAATGTCTGAAATTTCTGCGCGCGAGCTCTTGCTCAACACCCTCATCATCCCCGTCCTTCCCGTCATCGTCCATCGCCGCCACTGCCAACATCGTCAGCACCATCATCTTCTTCACAGACACATGGATATCATCGTCGCCATCGTCGTCACCAGCATCGGCACCGTCGGTGACCCCGCCGTCGTTATCGTCATCAACACCACCACCATCGCTATGATTATCATCGATGCAACCGTTGTCGAATTCATCATGATGTCGCGACCGCCCGAGTCATCGACCCGCAAAAAGTGCCCGCGCACTTACCTTACACCACGTAGCTTGCACCACGTCCCCTCAACCAAATAGCTTACACCACATAGCTTGCACCTCGAAGTTTGCACCACATAGCTTGAATCCCGTAGTTTACACCACATTTGTATACGTATGCTACACAACAGATCTTGGAGCCCACACCTGCAAATACTCCTACGTACAACATGTTTTGGTACGTGCACCCAGTCTCCTTGATGCGCAATCTGTTATATGTTTGCGCATCTTCTTTGCACTACATGAAAGTGTAAGGATCACGCACCTTCTAAAGCAACGAGCGCATCCAATAGGGGATATGTTGATCCCTATCCCACCAGGCTTCGTGGGGGTTCCGAATGGACCAGCACTTCGGGGCCCAACCCTGGAATACACGAGGGGGGGTCGCTCATCCTCGATAAGGGGCGCCTCCGCACAGCCCCCTTCTGAGGTGTGTATCCCAGGGTTCCCCCCCCTCTGTCCGAGCGGCCGCACCTCTCGGGCGGAGCCCGGGGCTCCGGGGGAGAAACAAATCGCCCGCGAGCATCGGCGGGAGGCCAAACACGAGCCCACCCGAGGAGTCCGAGCGGCCGCACTTCTCGGGCGGAGCGTGGGGCTCCGGGGGAAAAACAAATCGCCTGCGAGCAGCGGCGGGAGGCCAAACACGAGCCCACCCGAGGAGAGAGGCCGGCCTGCGAGCCCCAGCCGCGCGGCGCCGTCCTGTCCCTCGCGGGTGTCCGGGGGCGGCGCGCGTGTGCGCGGACGCCCCGTGGCCTCGGCGCCCCCCCGCTCGCCCCGCGCCCGCGCCCGCGCCCTCTCCCCCCCCTCCTCCTCCTCCTCCTCCTCCTCCTCCTCCTCCTCCTCCTCCTCCTCCTCCCCCTCCTCCTCCTCCTCCTCCTCCTCCTCCTCCTCCTCCTCCTCTCCTCCTCCTCCTCTCCTCCTCCTCCTCCTCCCTCCTCTCCTCCTCCTCCTCCTCTCCTCCTCCTCCTCCTCCTCCTCCTCTCCTCCTCCTCCTCCCTCCTCCTCCACCTCCTCCTCCTCCTCCTCCTCACTCCTCCTCCTCCTCCTCCTCCTCCTCCCCTCCTCCTCCTCCTCCTCCTCCTCCTCCTCCTCCTCCTCCTCCTCCCTCCTCCTCCTCCTCCTCCCCCTCCTCCTCCTCCTCCTCCTCCTCCTCCTCCTCCTCCTCCTCCTCCTCCTCCTCCTCCTCCTCCTCCTCCTCCTCCTCCTCCTCCTCTCCTCCTCCCCCTCCTCCTCCTCCTCCTCCTCCTCCTCCTCCTCCTCCTCCTCCTCCTCCTCCTCCTCCTCCTCCTCCTCCTCCTCCTCCTCCCCCTCCCCCTCCGCCGTGCTGAAGGCAGGTCTGCCTCCCGAATGACTGCCAAGGGCGCCTACCTTCGCGCTCTCGCGCGGCGCGGAGCGCGGGTAGCCTTGCGCTCCCGCGCCGCCTCGCAGGGGAGGATGAGGAGGCTGAGGAGGATGAGGAGACGAAGTGCGAAGCGCGGATGACTTCACACCCTCGAGGGCGCCCCTGCCTTGCCTCCTCTGCAAGCGCGAGGTGTAGGACTGCTTCTTGAACATGCCAGTCTGCCTTCAAGCAGCAGTAATATGAAGGCAGACCTGCCGTCGGAGAACCACCATTGCAGAGGAGACCAATCTTTCCCGCTTGCCGTTGAAGTTCGCGGGACATCGTGCAGTCCTCGTGACTCCTCCAGGAGCGCCGGCTCAGAAGCGGACGTCTGTCTTCGGACCACGGCGAGCCTCGGCCACGAAGGGGCTCCCCGACAAAGAGCCGAGGAACGGCATGGCAAGAGCACAGCGCCTCCTGAAAGAGAAGAGGTGCTTGCTTTTCCAGCGTCTTCACTGTACCAGACAGCATTCAGCAACAGATTGTCGATAACCCCGCCTGGACACCCATGAAAACATTCCTCGCGAGCCAAGCCGCCCACAAGCCGCCTCACCAACTCAGCACGCCTCCGCGCAAATCCGTGGCAAATTCCAAAAACACATGAACAACATCACAGCATGAAATGCGAACGCAGCGGACAGTGGATATCATCGAATCTTGCTGGCGCCCAGACTCCAAACAGTTCGGGCTGGGAAAAAAAAGGCAACCGTTGCACCGATCCGATGGGCGGCACCGTGAGATCGGAACCACCAACGGCCAACACACAGGAACGATCAGGGGCCGCACGACCCGCACGTCCCCGTGCACCACGCCCTGCGGGCCACCGCGGGAACGCCAGCACATGGGAAGTCGAGCCTTTCGCGGGTAGCTCGAGAGCACCTGCCGCCGAGGCGCCACGGGAGCCGAGGCCCTGCGCACGGGACCCTGTGCGGCAAGGGCCAGGGCGACAGAGACTGGGAGACTGGGGCCCCACGGGCAGAGCCCTGCGGGCAACCACCGGGCGAACAGACGACCTTGTGCTGCCAGAGGCAGGCTCGTCCGCAGCTCGTAGTTGACCCCTGCGACCTCCACTGTTCAGGAAGCTTGCGGGAACAGTTGTCTCAACCCATCCTTCCAAGTATAGGTTGCCCCAAATGAATACAGGCGGCTCTTAGCCTGTATCCTCGTTTTTGTTCATCGTCTACTGCTACGGCAGGTTTCATTGTCGTGACAACGCCAGCGTTGGCTTCTGACCCTCGGATCGTTCAACCTTGAACGATTGCGGCTTTCCGATTGCGCGGATCGTTCGATGTGGGGGGAGTCTGGGCCACTGGCGACATTCAACCTGGAATGCCCGCGCTGGGGGCCGCGGTGAGTGGACACGGCACGAACCTGCCGTGTCCGCTCCATTCAGTCCTCGCGCCCAGTACGCCTCATTCCTCCAGCCTCCATGCACCAATTTGGGACGC